TTTATCATATGTCAATTAGAGAAGTCTTCATTAGAAGCTAACCTTAAACTCATTTATTTCAGGGATGTGGGGAAGTCTGAGACCTCAAAGATGTTGTTCAAGGAAGTGAGTTTCATTCCTCAAGCAGAGAGACAAGGACAACCACAACTGCCACAAGGCAGTTGAGGGATTCAGGTTGTTTCAATATGGTTGCTGGGAAGAAAAGTCTTCTTCAGAAGTAAATGATTACAGAAAAAGAGTCGCCTTCTCCACGAAGAATTGTTTCCCAAATGGCCTGGATTGCTATAGCTGGGCTTGGGCATGGCTCCAGGCTATTTAGTTTTACACTCTTCCATTTCTAGCATTAGCTATTGGAACTGTGTTCATCTCTGGCTGCTTTTGTGCTTCCTTTTTTGATTGTGTCTCTGCAATTTACCTGGGACCTTGGCTTACATTCATAGCTGGACCTGCCTTTGGATTTGACCCATGGTGTGTTTCCTGACTGACTTACAACTTAACAGAATTTTCTGCTTGGTTCTCCCTGTAAAGCAGGCATGTCAAACTTGCAACGTCTTGTAATGTTGTGCAACGTATTGCGACTTTTCCCCTATTGCCAGCAATGGGGTGGGCACGGTTTCAGTATGATGCATCCGGCCCACAGGCCGGCAGTTTGACATGCCTTCTATAAAGCTTTAAATAAAAGAAGGTAATAAAAAAGCAAGGCAGCTGTTGGCAGGTTAGAACCTGAATAATATCACTGCTGTCATAAAAATTTTTTGTTAGTGCTCTCAGAGGGGTAGGTCATAAAAATCTAGGTAATTACTAAATGCCAAAGAGTCACTCGATTTTTTTGGCTCTGATCTCGGAATCCTAATGTATCACCTTAGTAGGCAATTCATGCTCATTAAAAATAAAATAGAGATGTCTTATATTACTGGGATGCCCAGGTAGAAAGAGGCACAAAATTTTGCAAAGCAAGTCCCCTTTAAGTGAAGCAAGTCCTCTTGTGAAGTTTGTAGGCTTGGGTGAGATAACAGACTTTCTCTATAATAGCCCCCACCTTATATCCACCACCCAGAAGTATAATCAGCAGCTCAGTAAAGGAGTTGTTTTATCCCAAAATACTTTTGCTTCCAGCTATCCGATTGTGGGGGCCTAATTGAGGTTTTATTCTTGCTTTTCCTTGTAGTCACCCTCTGGTTCTGACACTCATTAATCACTTTTGTTATTTTACTTTGTGCCCTGGAGTTGGGGTGGATTTGAACCACTCTAAAAATAAATAAAATGGAAGGCCATTAGAAATGTAGTAAAACTGTCTGACAAGTGAGCTGATAGGTTTTTGATGGCAGTTGCACTGACAGTATTGACTGGGGCTATGCAGGAGAAGGTCAAGTGACCAGATGGAGAGGTTTCTTATGAAGCCAGAGGTGGGGGGGGGGAGGAAACAGGGACTTTGAATCATTCTTGATTTCTGGTAACTGCCTGGACATGCAGTTTTCTTGGCAATATTTTTTGGGAAGAGTTTTTGTACTGCCTTCTTCCAGGGACTGAGGGACAGGAACTGGACCAGAGTCATCCAGCTGGCTTCTTACATGACATCACCATCTATCTTGATGTCTTAACTGCTACACCAATTAGCTCTCTGACCAGAGACAGTAGGTGATGATAAATAGGTACAAGCACTGCTTTCAATACCTAAGCTAATTCCCCAAGTACAACACATTTTTGAAAAAAATGTTAAGCATTTATCATCTGTGGCTGGCTAGCTATAGACACAATTTAATGTGCTCAATGTACAGTGGTACCTTGGTATTCAACTGATTTGAAACTCATCAAGTTTGGTACTCAATGCATTCTGATGCAAACATTTTATCCCGGTACTCATTGTTTGTTTGGTACTCAGCGCACAAGCTAGAACATGTCACTGTCAGCTGCCTTGTGACCTATCACATTATTCCTTATGGGAAAATTTGTTTGGCATCTATCGTTTTTGATATTCACTGTGCCTCCCAGAACCAATTAATGATAAGTACTGAGATACCACTGAATTTTGTTTCTTTAAAAATATATTATGTGCAAAACAAGGGTTGACTTGGTTTAAATGGAATGCTGCTTAACTGAAACAATACCATCAAGTCTGAGATATAGATCTCTGCTTAGAGCAGAGATCCTCAGCTTTTTTGAACTGGTAAAGGACATTTTGAATCCTGGGAGGGTGTTATAGGCTGCTGCAACAACATAGCCATTCATGAGAACCATTCATGCCACCCTCTCTAGCATACAGAATGCTACTTCAACATCTTTTTTTCTTTTTCTTTTATGAGTAAATTGGCATACTTTCAACACCAGCACTGGTCATTAAACGCCCATCTTCAAGCCTGGAGATGGAGGGAGAGAAACCAGGCAGATTGTGTATGTCTATTAATCTTCATGTCTTCTATGTCAGAAGGTTTGAGTAGTTGTGTATCAGCTGAAATATTGGTGCTAAAAGGAAAAAGGGTTATTTATTTGTTATTTTGCTTTTTCTCCAGGACTTCTATACATAACATTTCTTTTTCCAAGCAAATTTCATAGGTAGAGTTAGGTGGAGAGGCAGTCAGTTACCAAGTAAGCTTTTATCGTGTGCATGGACTGGTCCTAGAGCAGACCAATAATCCACTCCCACATTCTCCCCTGCCCATTCAACTCCCTGATTTATAATGACCCCAGAAAGTCAGAGGGGGGGGGGAGGAATGAAGTAGAGGTTTCTTTCCAGTCTCCAGACCAGCAGTATATAGATTTTAAAATCCTTGGTTGCAGAGATGACTTCTTTCTAAAATACAACATACCTTTTACTGTTATGGGGAAAAAAGCATTTTCTATTTTTTTCACATGCTGAGATTCTTTCCAGTTAATTTCAGGTTGTTTTATCAGTTGGGGAAAAGTGTGAAATGAATTTTAAAAGACTCCCTCATCTCTACCTAGTTATGCCTTGCCTTGATGCTCAGGAAAAAGTTGCAAGTGAAATTTAATAGGTTGTTTACATTTGCGGTAGAATTCGTGAGAAAATAGCCAAGATATTGCTTTCACGTGAAACTTATCTGAAACTTTAGAAGGCTGTTTATGAATACAAAAAAATGTACCTTGTTTATTTGCAGAAAGTTTTTTTTTAATGTTCATGATCTCAGCTTTGACATTGAAAACACTTTCTGGCTTCAAGTCAAGCAAATTGCTTCATCTTAAATAGTACAGAGGATTTCTAGATTATCACTTGGAAAGATCTGCATTTCCAGAGAAATGTTTTTATTTTGCCTTTACTCAGCTTGTAGCCTTACATTGTTTGGGGTTTATGTAGCCCTGAATCTACTATGACATATCCTGCTTCTTTTACTGGATTAATATAAAAGAAATTCAGCAATACAAAGATATTGGGCAACTCTGGATATCATTTTTCTGTATTGTAGATCATATATTGGGTAATGCTGAGAGTTGAAATTCCAACCACTCTTGGGAATACACCTACATTCACTAAAACAAATCGTATTTTCATTTTTAAAACAGCGCACACTTAATAATTTCTTTGGTTCTTTTTAAAATTCATTTATGTACTACTTCCTGTATCATTGTATTTTTCCTGACCTCCTTTTTTGCTATATCTTTTAAATATGCTTTCTTTGCTGTTAGTGGCCTTTGAAAGAAAGTGTTGGGGCTGGCTGCTCATAACTTACAGTATAACCCTACATTATTTTGTTCATAGGTAGAAGTAAAATATACTCTGGTTGGTTCAGCAAAAGATTGTGGCCATACATCTGAACCATGAATGCTATCTCTTAATAGCAAAATTTTCTCAGTATGTCCTCATAATGGTGTTCTAGGAAAATGCAATCTAATTAACTGGATCCGCTGGCAAATATAGCACATACATAGGCTATGTTCAGCATGTATGAATTGGGAATGCATAAAAATGCTTCTGCTGTCTTGTATGAGAGTGCATTACACTATTCGATAAAATTGAATCTGTGAATAAAAAAGTAAATAGTGAGTATGCATTCACATTTGCAGAAGGACATTATATCAAACTTTTTCATTCCTGCTTATTTGGGATTAACAATGGACAAACAACATCATCTACACCATACAGTGTATGGACTATATCAGCCAATATATAAGGTAGACCGGCAAAAGACCAATAGAACACCAACTAGCAATCAGGAGATAGGAGGAAAATTCCTCAAGCTCACAATACATGGACAGACTCACCCATAGTTTTCACAGGGAAACTCTGAGTTAAATAAAAAATACTATGGAATTCCTGGAAGTTTGGCATTCAGACAAATCAATTATCAATGAACACCTAGAAAGAAACCATATGTGTACACTATTCAAAAGAGACAAATAAAAAAGCTAAGAAGGAAACCAAAAGACTAGAACATGTCTTCTGTAGCAGCCAACACCCAGATAAGCAGGGATTAACACCAGACAAACAATCAAGCAGAAGACAATACTCTAATCAAGGAATTGCCAATGAGAAAACCATACCTCCCCACCAACATTGTCAGGATAAGCTGTTACATATAAATAGAGAGCAAACTCCACACTGACTAGCATTGATGATGTTATCTAGTTGGGTAATGAAATGTCTGCATACAAATATCCAAAGTAGGAGAGGACCAAGGATCCCAGAGTTCAGTCTTGAGCTACATATGGTCTTTTTTGAAAATGGTAATCGCCCATTACTTATTTTATTATTGCTAATATGGCCTTTTGCTATTTATGGCATGATGCCTTCTTTATAAATAGATTCCTTTTAGCTTCTTGCTAAAATACCCGCATTATGGCTTGTACCAAGTGATGATTGTAGCATCTGCAGGCTAGGAAAAGCTGCTGTGCCTTACCACAAAATGTAATTTGGAGGCTATCTCTCAAATAGGGGTGCCAGCCATCTCACTGACTTTCATTTTTTTTCTCTTCAGAGGTGAATGTTTTGTAGGGCATATGTGTAGTTTTCATAAGGTGCAAGCTCAGCTTGAGCCAAACGATAAGAAAGGTACCTACCATTTTAATGTAATCTTTTCTCCAATACTGGTAATAGAACAACATCTTATTTTTTCCAATAATTATTTAAAGATTATATCATACAAGTAAAATTTATACATCTACAGAATAAAGTAATATATTAAAAAAGAAAAAAATACAGAAAAATTCTTCATCCCAAGCAAGTGTAATCAAGATTAAGAAGTTATCACTAACTCTTAAATTAAAATCAAACTTCCATTCATTCCATATCTGACCCGTTTTTATAAACCCATATATTTCTCTCCCTATTAAACAACATCCAGTGAAAGTTATCGGAAACAACATAAATATTACAAATTATTTATTAAATTCAGCCTGAATCCTTCCTTTCCCTTTAAACAAACTTCCCCATATCCTCTCTTCAAATAATCAAAATTCAATCCCACTCAAACAACAATTAAACGTTACCAGAAATAACCATGAATTGGCATCCAGTCCTAATAAAAAAACATTAAAGATCGATCAAACCAACTCATTATTTTAAACTTGGTCAAATAAATCAATTTCATAGTCTTCTTTTTGCAGCCTTTAAAATCCTCAAAGAAAGTTCTAGGATGTGTCTTCTCATACTCTCTTCTCTTTTCTCGAAGTTCTTTTCTTTATCCTGATCAAGTCCGCTTTGTACTTCTAATGTATTTCTTTTTCATATAGAACATCTTCCAATGCACGTGAAGACTGGAGAATAGTGCAAATGACGCAGACACCTTTATGTAGCACTCCACTATCTTTTTCAATCCAACACTTAATGAAACTATTGTCTTTGCTGGCATTCAAACTTCATTTAGACTTGAGAAATGAGCATGAATCAGCTAATATGTATATGCATTTCAGGTGGCTTTATGTGCTAAAATGGCACACATCTGAAGCATTAGCAACCCCATTTCCTTAACATATTTTGTTTGAGCTGGTTGCTAACAAAAAACCAATTTCTCCTATTGAATGTGGGCTGTGTCAGATATTTGCCAAATGAATTCAAACTTCAATTATAACTTCAAACATACTTGCTAGAGAGTAAAGCCATTGCTATGCTGACAAAGTAAACACAGAAAACTAACAGGAGTTTGCCGGTAGAAGGAAAAGGATGACAAGAAATGCTGAATCCTTTGAGAGACTGAATGATCAGCAGAAAGGAATAAAAATCATCCCTTCAGTCGCTATTGCTGCAAAAGTTGTTCTTAGCTGAAAGCCCATTGTTGGTGACTTCCTGCTGAGTAAGCAGAGAAAACAGATACCAAATATAAGACAGTAAATTTCCAAGGGAGTAAACAGAGAAAAAGCAGAAGTTTGATAAAGTGTCTTCCAACATATTGCCTCCCTGTTCCAGTTGATAGCATGTACAGTTCTAGGCTAGCCTGAGAAGCAAAAAGAGAGGAAATGAGAAAAAAGTAAAAAACAAAAACAAAACAAATGATATTTTGAGAAACTTAAATGAAATCTATCCAATGAAACAGTTTATATGGTGAAGCTGGTAAATTAAAAAATTCTGGGTATATTGAAATACAAAGTCTTGTCATCTCTAAAGTAAGTTAAAGGAAGCAGATTTAGATAATTTGGAATGTATACATGAAATTCCTCATGCCTTCTCGTTTTGATTCTCTAAGTTAGGCTACCTGCATTCTTCCTCTTAAGAGATATGGACCTAATAACTCCCTTGCTCTTTAATATGGTTAAAATCTCACACAATTGCCGAAACTAGTAAGATTTTAAGGTTGAAATAAAATGTCTTACAGCCTCAAATCACACTGCTAAAACCTCCTGAAATTTTAGCTGTAGACACACTGTCCCTTGAGAGCACATGGTGCAATTGCACTGTATGTTCAAGAGGCTATAGAACAGTGGTTCTCAACCTGTGGGTCGGGACCCCATTTGGGGTCAAACGACCATTTCACGGGGATTGCCAAACAACGCAGTCCGCCATTTTTTTCCCCTTTTCCTTAGCTGTGCTACTCCCTTTTATTCTATTGGCTTTTGAAAGCCAATAGAATAGAATCTCTTGAATAGAGTCTAATTCTATTGGCTTTCAAAAGCCAATAGGAATTGTCCAGGCTGTCTCTGCCCTGCTGAGCCTGCCAAAAGTCCCATTCTGCAAACGGTGCTGCGCCAGTTGAGTAGTCCTCGACTTACGACCGGTTGAGTAGTCCTCGACTTACGACCGGTTGGGGGTTGCGGCATTAAAAAGGTTGAGAACCACTGCTATAGAATAATGTGGTTTCCCATTTCCAAGGGTAGAGATCTGTCCTCCCACAACGTCCTATTATTATTCATCCAATGTTGTGTTGTTACATTAGAAAGAATACAAAATCTTTCTTGAGGGATCAGGAGAACACATGACAAAAGTTTAAAGCTGGCTGTAGGAGATGACCAGGCTTAGCCCATGAGAGGGGTCAAGAGCGTCATCAGTCATGAGTCCCTTCACATCCATTAAAGTCCAGCCCACCTTTAATTCCTTTGACTCTTATCTACTGCCAATTTGCTTGGACCATTAGTAGTTCAGATTCTTGTGTAGAGCTTAAGCTTGCAATAAATCTTTATACTCATCTCAACTGCCTGGATCCTCTGATTTTTCTGGCACTTTACTATGGGATGCAGTAGAAGAATCTGGAAAACAAAGAACATAAAAAAATGAATTAAAAAAGGGGGAAAGACTTTCAGCCATGTTGCTGAATGAATTGGGAAGATTGTCCATGATAGATTTGTCTTTTCTACTTATATCAATTATTTAACTATGAATAAGAATATTATAGTTTAATCATGTAACTTTGTATTATTTATTCCTAGCAACATGAATGGAATCACTGGACCGCTTATCTTTCAGGACATTTTAATTCGTTTAAGGAACAGAATGTTCCCAATTATTTTTACCACGCTGAAGCAAATGAAACATAAGCTATGATTTATGAAACCTCCAAGACCTGATTAATAGATTAATAGATTGCTGAGAGATGCCAAGATGCAATAAAACATTTTTGCCGTATTATATAGTTTTATCTATATAATGGCCTTACTTTTCCTTTCCGAAGTACATACGAAGTGTGAAATCTTATTGAATTTATACGGCAGAGCTGCATCTTTGTGTAGTTTGAGACATAGACATGGAACTTTCAGCCTTACTACTTTTATTTCCATATAAAATGTTGATCATATTTCTTAATAATTGTTAATGATAACTCTGATAGTTTTAGGTTATACAGGAACTCTGTATCAATTGATTTTTTTCTGGCTATTGTTCTAAGAGTGGCCCTTAAACCTTCTAAAACAAGGGTCTTCAAACTTGGCCCTTTTATGACGTGTGGACTTCAACTCCCAGAATTCCTCAGACAGGCACACTGGCTGAGGAATTCTGGGAGTTGAAGTTCACAAGTCATAAAAGGACCAAGTTTGAAGACTCCTGTTCTAAAACCTGGAGTTCTTAGGAGTAATATTCAAAGAAACTCTAACCATAGGACAAAACATTTGCCAATCCTGGTATATCTGTAAAATGCTGCATTCTGGCCCGTGCATCTTATTGGATTCCCATGTAAACCACATTGATTAAAGGATTTTTTGGCCTAAAGGGATATAGATGCACAGGTATGATTTGCATATCTTCTCCTAAGGTACAAACCATTGATTCTTTCCAGAGGGCAGGGCAGATCCTTTTCATCCTTTAAGTCTTAGGTTCAATCTCAGACACTGGAAAACCCCTTCATAGATCTTACTCTGCGTAAAAAGTTTATTTCACATTGTTGTTAGTTTTCAATTCATGAAACTTTCCATGCTTTTAAAGGCTGAAACAAGATGTTGGTTGCAATTGTCTAGTCTGTATTGACTAGAGACCCTCAAAATAAAAATTTCCAGAACATCTGAATGGCCCAAACTGGAGAAGTCTGCTGAGTTTATACCTCACATTAAGCTAAAAGCAAGCAAACCTAACATGGGTGAAGTCAACACTGTAGGGTAAATTGTGTTTTATGCTTCAGTGTAACCTAGTCAATTATGGTTACATTAACATATCAGTATAACGTGAGAATCCAGTCTCTCCAGCATTCTTAAGCCATAATGCCTAGTTAATGAATACTCAAGTGTCACTATTTTACCTGCATGAGTTTATTAACCAACATTTGGGGCTTGGATGCTGTCTGAGACTAAAAATCCGCTGCCAGATTGCCAATGTAGGTAAGATAGCAGCACATAGTGGTTAGCTGGATTTATGGATTAGCGTGTTATGCAAAGAAAATCTTGAATTTAAAATGATGCAATAGAATAATAATGGGCCATTATGTTATGTAATCATTTTTTTCATCCATGCAGCAACTTTAGGCATAGAAGGTTTTGAAGCATTTCAGCAACCAAAGTGGAATTTACAGGCAGGTCATATCAGTGAATGCTACCTTATATTTTATATGCAATAATCCCTCATTTATGATTGCAATAACAACTCTCTGCATTTTAAATACAGATAGTCCTTAACTTACAATCATTTATTTAGTGGCCATTTGAAATTACAATGTCACTGAAAAAGTGACTTATGATCGTTTTTCACATTTACAACCATTATAGCATTCCTATGATCACATGATCAAAATTCAGATGCTTGGCAATTGGTTCATATTTATGATAGTTTCAGTGTCCCAGGATCATGTGATCCCCCTTTGCAATCTTTTGATGAGCAAAGTCAATGGAGAACCCAGATTCACTTAAAAACCATGTTACTAACTTAACAACTGATTCACTTAACAACTGTGGCAAGAAAGTTGTAAAATGGGCAAAGTTTACTTAACTGTGTCACTTAGCACCCGAAATTTTGGGTTTAATTGTGGTCGTAAGTCGAGGACTACTTGTATAAGTTTTCTGATGGTACATAAATAGCAATAGCACTTAGATTTACATACTGCTTCATAGTGGTTTACAGAGTCAGCATAGTGGTTTACAGAGTCCCCAACAATCTGAGTCCTCATTTTACTGACTTTGGAAGGATGGAAGGCTGAGTTAATCTTGAGCCAGGCAGGATCAAACTCCTGTCAGTGAACAGTGAGTTAGCCTGCAATATTGCAGTCTTATCACTGCCCCACCACAGCTCTTATAAACTAATTCAGGGGTAGGCAATCTTGGCTGTTTTATGACTCGTGGACTTCAACTCCCAGAATTCCTGAGCCAGCCATGCTGGTTCAGGAATTCTGGGAGTTGAAGTCCACGAGTCATAATTCAACCTGGTGCAAGAAACATCTGTGCATAAATGATCTAAGCCAATCACGTGTACTTTAGGACCAGAGAAAGAATGGAAGTTTTAAAAAAGGGCAAAGTCTTTTGAACTTTTGCTGACTACTGAAAGACTATAGCTTTTATGAGATTTATTTAAAATGGATAGCTAAACTCTTAATTTTTTATGGCCAAATATATTAAAGATTAAGAAAAAAAAACTTTATTTTCATCATAGTTTCTGTAATGCCTTAGTTTTCTACATGGCCAGACCCTGCTGTTGTTCTTCGGTATGCATAGGAAAGGGGCACGGTGGCTCAGCGGTTAAGACACTGGGCTTGTTGGCTGGAAAGCCAGCTGTCCAGGTTCAAGACTCATGTGCCCCGCAACAGGGTGAGCTCTCACCCTTGCCCCAGCTCCTACCCACCTAGCAGTTTGAAAGCATGCAAATGCAAGTAGATAAATAGGTATCACTTCTATGGAAAGGTAGCAGTGCTCCCTGACATCATGGCAGGATGGCAGCCAGGCAGTGTAGACAAGATTCTGTCCTCACACCCCATCCCGCACAGTTGATGCTGCAGGGCGTAGGCAGAGGGCGTGACTGCCATAGTGCTGCTGGGCTGCCTGGGCGATCTGCAGCGGGCCATGGAGGTGGTGAGTGGCCCTGCGGGCAGGCGGGGCAGGAGATGGGGGGGTGGAATGGGGGCAGGGCAGGGGGTGGAGCGGGGGCGGGGCCAGATTTTGGGCACTCAGTCTCTAAAAGGTTCGCCATCACTGTCCTAGGCATAGGAAAACACTTTCCAAACATTTACAGTCAAGAATGACCTTTTGACTGATTATCTACCATTGGAAGTTGATCTTTAAAGTAAAGATGATTTACTTAAAGGTAAAAAGTACCATATCTTTACAGCCAATGTACTCCACTATACACATCTTTTTGCTGTGGGCTTGATTCTTTTATTTTTTTCATCACTACAGCCAATACGGCTCCTATTGACCTAGCAGAAGACTCAAGAAATTAATTACTTTGCAATTCTGTGCCAAAGAATGCTTTAGCTAAAGTGGATGGTTTTTTTTTTATAAAATAAAATAAAAAAGAATGTGATAATACAACAGACACTTTGTTTATTCTAGCTTGTTGCCTGTCATTCCCTTCAGCTGTTCAAATATTCTTCTTCTCTGAGAGGCATGAATCTGCTTCAGTCAAAAACACAACCTCTAAGAGATCTGGCAGATTAGATGCTCTAAAGGAGTGTGATCAGAAGCAGTCATTTAATAAATAAAACATACGGTACATGAATTTCCTGACAGATCTTTGAAGGCTGCGGTGCCTTACTTGAGCTGGATGCACTTCACATTCTGAAAATGGGAAGCAGAAAGACAAAGAAATAGACAAAGTCACAGAAAAGCTAAATACAATTTAAATGAATTGGAATCGAATTCAGGGAAATGCAAGAAATGCAATCCAGATATGTTTTTCCCTTTTGTCACCTGAATAATTATGTTTCAGCAGCAATTTGTGGGATTATGTGCCGCCTAATAATATGCTGTCTGCAGACTCCAGGATTTCTCTAATTCCTAAAATGTTGCCTATGGATATCTTCCCCCAATTATGTTGAACTGGTTTAAAAATATGTCCAGTTTCTTGGGAGATTCAGCAAGCTTGTCAGATATCGGGTGATTTGGGGGAAGAAGCACTGAAAGTTGCTTGAATCCACCATTCATGCAAAAGACTATTGCAGTGGTGGCGAACCTATGGCACGCATGCTTTCTGTGGGCACGCTTGCCATTGCCCCAGCCCTGCCTCCCCCCATGGCCCCCTCCTCACCAGCAGCCCCCCTGGCTGAGAGTTGCCCTTGGGCACGGCCCGCATGGAGCAGCGCACCCAAGCACATGGCAGCAAGGAGAAGACTCCACCCTCGCACCCTGTCTCATATAGATGATGCTTCGGGGTGCAGGAAGAGGGGATGGCTGCCATGATGCTGCTGGGCCGTCTGAGCGATCTGCTACAGCAGGCTGTGGAGGCGGTGGGTGGTCCTGCGGGCGGGTGGGACAGGGGCGTAGTGGGACAGGGCGGGGGGATGGAGCAGGGGCAGAGTGGGTTTTGGGCACTTGGTCTCTAAAAGGTTCACCATCCTTGGACTATTGCCTACAAACACAAAGGGGTGGTTCCCACAACAAATGGCTTGAAAACCAAATCAATCACATTATGCCTTAGTAGATACCAATCTTTATGAAATAGAAACAGATATAAATCTTTATGAAATAGCAAAAATCATATAAAATTTAGTATGCATGTATGTATGTGTGTATATATATGTACATGCATATGTATATGTTCAAAACCATGATAAGTTTGAAGAAAGAGTAGAGAGTGAGGTTAGGAGGATTTGCCCAACCTTGTTCATCTCCCCTATGCTGAGTACTATGGAGTAGCATATATTTATGAGATACCACTTCCGGCACAGAAAAAACCAAAAAAATCCAGGACGCGGCATTTGCATTACATGTTTATCATGATCAATTTAACCATGCTTGATTCAATTCATTTTTCTTGATTCAAACTACATACCTGAACCTTAGAATAGCCACATGGAATAGATTTGCACATGGACTGGCAGGATATTTGGAGCCACATGTAAATATAGTTACAAAGTAAGTAGCTAATGACGTATACCATATGTTAATGCAAAGAGCATTAGCCAATATTAAAGATTACAGGTAGTTCTTGACTTAGGACCACAACTGAGCCCCAATGTGGCTTGCCATTGCCTTGTTTCCTAGGGCAGAGAATGAGTGACTAGTTCAAAGTCACCCAGCTGGCTTTGTGCCTAAGGCTGGACTAGAATTCACATTCTCCAAGTTTCTAGCCTTGATGCCATAACCATACCAAACTGGCTTTCTATATTTAGAGTTAGTGGCTAAATAACAGCTTTTGTTCATTTTTTCTGGGGTAATATTAAGTTGCTGGTGATGATAGAAGATTTTTATTATTACCAAAATGTATTTTAAAAATAGAACTGTGCAGAGATATAGATGTTAAGGCAAAATGTGGAGCACAATTTATATTTAATTATTCAGACCATTTGTATCTTGCCATAATGCCTGTGCACCTAGCACAGTGGTTCTCAACCTTTTTAATGCCGTGACCCCAACCGGTTGTAAGTCGAGGACTACTCAACCGGTCGTAAGTCGAGGACAACTCAACTGGTGCAGCACCGTTTGCAGAATGGGACTTTTGGCGGGCTCAGCAGGGCAGAGACAGCCTGGACAATTCCTATTGGCTTTTGAAAGCCAATAGAATTAGACTCTATTTAAGAGAGTCTATTCTATTGGCTTTCAAAAGCCAATAGAATAAAAGGAAGTAGCACAGCTAAGGAAAAGGGGGGAAAAATGGCGGACTGCATTGTTTGGCGATCCCCGTGAAATGGTTGTTCGACCCCAAATGGGGTCCCGACCCACAGGTTGAGAATTACTGACCTAGCACCTGTTGGGAATATCTTAAATCAGACCCCTCTTTTTCCAGCTGCAGAGGGCAGCTGCATGAGCCCAAGAAAAGATAACTGCTTTAATAGCTTGTTTAGAGCCACTAGAATTCAGCCAGTGTGAAGGAGTCCTCTGATTTGGCCTGCCTGGATATACTTTTGATGTATTTTCTTACATCTGCCCTTGAAAATAATATAGATAGAAAGGTGGGATATATACCGAATCACTAATGACAAATCGACAAATCGTATTAATTCAGTGAGTTTTATTGCAAGATGTGACTACAGGAGTCCTCCTTAAACAGAACACAAACCTAGATGGAGATTTCAACAAAATCAGCTAGGAAAGACAACAGATGGTGTGCCATTCATTCTTTCCCTTAGACTCTGTAACAGCTGTTTCACTATTGTATGTCTGCTTCACTGGGTCCAGACAGAGAGGACCTTATGGCAGATATCCAACTTACACTCAACGAACTGTGGAAGAGGGCCCTCAAATGCAATAGGAAAAGCCCACAATTTGTAATTGTTGAACTAATTCTCCTTGAATTGTCTAAACTTACTCCAAATTACCTTCTAACAGAAGTGTTAACTGAAGTATAAAGGAGAAGAGAAATTCCCTATTCTCTCTTGACTGCTTGAAGTGCATAATAAAACAAAATGTTAGCAAAGATGGACCAACTCCTGAACGAAGAAGCCACTGCGCCAGAGTTGTAGTATCCTGAAAGCTAAAGAAATGACCAATTCTCCACCACCCTATTTTTATCTTCAGGATATTGAAAAGCCACTTAACAGAAGTTTCAGCCTCAGTGGCCTTAAATCAACTACTAGGATAAGAGACGCCATTCAGTGGCAGAACAGGTTTGCTACTTACCTCCAGCATCAAAAGGCTTGAGGTGGCCTGCCTGCCAGGCCGCTCTTGAAGTTATTATATACTGCTTTTCCAAATGATAAATGCAGGATTATTCATCCTGCATTATTCAGCAGTCAATCTTTAATAGGAACATTAGGAAGGATGCTGCCGGGCAAATATACCAATCCATCTATTTATATAACGTTCTTTCATTTCCCTGGGCTTTTCGTCCTAGTTTTCTTTGGTCCTTTTTACCGTCTTGCCGCCACCAAACCTGAACCTAACACGCGTAATCCCGTCCGCGCTTTTCTTTCATCCATTAAAACAAACCTGCCGTCGCGTCTTTCCGCTCATTGGGGCTGTCGCCGCGCCGCCGGCGATCGATGGGAGGGCGGTCTCTCCAGCTGGCAGCAGCGACGGCGGCAGGACTGGAAGAAGCCCCGCCTTTTTATTTGCCACGACTTTGATTGTTGTTGTTTTGCTTCGGCGGGAGTGCGCAGCCAAGGTCCGTGCGTTGCTCTCCTGCCGCGCGAGAGCAGTTGGAGTAAAAGCAATTGCACGCCGGGGTCGGATGGTGCGCGCTTGCACCTGGAGGGCTTTGGGGAGCGAAGGCAGCGCTGGGAACAACGGGGAGGCGGCGGAGGCGGCGACTCTGGGATCCACCTTTCCTTGGGGCTAGTTTGCGAAGGAGGTTGTTCCAAACGGACCAACTGAGGCTCTTCGGGCGGCAATTGGATGGATGCATGGCGAGATTTGCGCGTTTTGCAGGCTTCTGGGCCCTTGTCCCTCTCTCTGCTCCTCGCTTTACTTTCTGCTGGCTGTTTCTCCTTGTAACTAATTGCCTCTTTCCTCCTTTCTGTTGCTTTCTGTCTTGCTTGGCTGTTACTGGCAGGTCCCATTTGCTCTAATTCGGGCTACAAGAAGGCGGATGATGAGATGTCCGGGGCCACGTCCTCTGCAGACCAGGGAGAGGCAGCAGCTCGCACTATTTACTTGAATGGACCTCAGCAGAGCAAGTTCCACGACAACTGGGTCAGGTAAGAAGAGCCAGTATCCACAGTCGAGGGAGGGAAGGAGAGGAAGCTAGATGAAAGTCCAGACTGAGCCCAAAGTACCACCAGCCATTGAGTGAACTTGATCAGACTTCCAAATAGAAAAAGTTAGGCTGCAAGGCTAACTCTTGCTTAGCTACAGGGTAGCGGTGAAAGGACCAGCTCCCCATTGTCAAAATTGGATTGTTCATGAGTGACTGGACAGCCTTGTTTTATCTCTGGCTGGAAATTGTCACATGCTTTTACTAGTTTTATATCAGGTATAAAACTACAACAGACATGAACATAATGTACCCTCATGCATTGTTCAAACCCTGTTGATTTAAGTTGGTGTGTCCTTTTAATTCTGGAAAGTTGGACTCGGGGTAAATTATGGTTAAACAAATCTTGGAAACACAAACTTAAGGCACCAGATTTAGTGAGTCCTACTCTTCTAGATTTCTAAGGAGAGAAAGAACATCTATAAGATCTAGAGAGTATATTCAGTTATCTTCAAGAAACGGGGAGTGATTTATGTACCTTAGCAAGAAACCAAGTTTCTTTCAAAATGGTCCAGTCTTCTAAGCAGTGAAATAGTCATATAAGGAAGTAGATATGAAGCAGTAGGAAACTAGAATCTCCTAATCAGATTAAGAAAGAGAGTGAAGGCAATAGGCAATAGAAGACAATATTTTTAGCTTAAGGTTGAACTGTGGCATCCTTGGGGCTCTCTAAATTTATTAGTTTTCTTGCAGATGTTTCATTACCAAACTAGGTAACAACATCATTGAGACACAATTGTGAGAGTGACTGTTAGTACAGTGACTGTTTATTCAGGATGAGGAGATAAGATAATAACAGCATTGTTAGACAGCAGGCTAAATATGGATGTGTGTAAAAGAAGCTGCAAATTCACCATCCTTTATTTGGTCTCTAAATGGGAAAAAGACAAAATCATGCATGTTAATTCAATATGCATCATGTTTCTGTGAAGTGTGAAAGAGTTTTTGTCAATTCTTGTCTACAGTATTGTGTGTTTGACAGGTGTTTGCTAGGTTATATGTTATGCTTAATCATGGCTTGTTTGTTGAATAAACCATGTTCAGTATGGTTTATAGCAAGCGAAAACCAAAGAAAAACACATTAACAGTGCATTTTGTGAACTCAGCCAGTGACTCTCGCAGTTCTTTCCATTTCCTGAAACCTGACCTTTTTATTTTGACATGGCCAAGGATTGAATTCGTGTATTTAGACAAATATTGATGAAATATTGCTTTATAGGAGACTAGTTCATATATATAACTTTTAAATTTTCCTATAATGTATGAACCCAACAATGATGCCTTATATAATAGATCTTTATTAAAATCATGATTTGGTAATGATGCATGAATTGTGGTACTAATTAGCAGCAGTTTTTCAGAGTTTTAAGCCAACATATCCAACTTCATGTCCAAACTTGCCTCTTTCTACCTATACTTTGCCATTAAAGGAGAGAAACCCAGACTGTTGTCAGTGCCTAAGTTGCTCTAGTGAAGCCAGTTGTGTGATTGGAATTTTGAAAGGGTTAGAATTGGAACCATTACTCTCTCTGTTTTGATTACTGTTTTTAGTGATCCTTATTTAATTAATAATTCTCTGTGTGACAAAATTATAAATTGTACTTTGGAGAACAAGTGTTAAAAATCCCACCAAAGCAGTGTCAATTGAAAGGATTCACATTATTAAACTTTTGAGAAGACTTTGGTCAAGAAGGTTATTGTGTTTTGTCAGGATTGTAGCATCCGTTTAAACAGACAAACAGTGATAAAGTGGCTGAAATAATTTATCCAGTTCTGCAAGGCATCTTTAATGCAGGATGATTGCTCTTTGGCACCGCCTGGAAGAACCTTAAGTAACAGATAGCACATTGAAATAATACGGTCTAATAATATGTCTCAAGAAGTATTGGCTAGAAAAGGATGAGAAAAACATACTAGAAAATGTTGCAACAGGAATTTTGGCTATTCACTACCTTGTACCTTTCCCTGAATGTCCCATTTCCCCCCTCCCCATTTAAACATGCTGTGGACCCAGAAGATCTTTTGATCAGTGGATTAGGTTTTGTTGAACGGGACTCCCTATTCCAGCTCCCTGCCAAGGTTAGACAGGCTTTCTTTCCTCAAGATTCACCAAAATGCTTAATTTTCACATGCCCATTTCCTTCTGTCTAAAAATATGTGTGGAACATTTGCTCTCTGCCCTTGTCATGTACTTCCTTGAGACATATTGCTTTGTTCTTCAGCAGAGAGGATCCCAAAGTGATTGCTAGAATAATAAAAAGGAGAGGCTCTTTGCCTAACAAATGTAACTCTGAAGAAGAGAAAAGACTGGCAGTAGCTGGCACTCAAAAGAGAAGTGGAGCTGGATCGTTCAGAATTTTTCTCAAGCACTTTGAGAGCATCAGGTTGGGAAGGCTACTATAGCGTTATCTGGATGTCAGCATTACTAGATTAAAAGGGACCTGCTTTCAAATAGAGATATGAATAGAATTGCTGTGTTGGCTGTTCCTTTCCATCCAGTTGCAAGTTCTGCAAAAGTCTGCTGCTTTCATACAATGTTTGATATACCTTTCAGTCTGCCTCAGATAGTTGAACTGTGGGGAAAATAGATAAATTCAACAAACTCAAATTCACTTTTTAAACTTTTATCCTATGACATATGACTCCACCAAAACTTCAGTCCGGTGCGTCAGTTGAATTAAAACTGACCTCTGAGGAAACATATACAAGATTGCACTGTCATTGTATTCATTTCTTCTGAAAAAATATAGGCTAGGCTACGCTTCAGAGGTTGGAAAAAGTTCATCGGTTGCTTAATTGTTCTTTGTTGCAATCAATACAAATGTAAATTGAGAGCTTCAATAGCACAGTAGTCTGCTAAGACCAGGAAAATGCAGGGCTGAATCCACTCTGCACTATGGAAGTCCACTGTGCTTTGGGGCTAGTTGTTCTCTCTCTCTCTCTCTCTCCCCCTCTCTTTTCTTTCTTTCTTTCTTTCTTTCTTTCTTTCTTTCTTTCTTTCTTTCTTTCTTTCTTTCTTTCTTTCTTTCTTTCAAAATACATCGTTCATGTACCTGAAGGGGTTTATACCAAATGGTGTAATCGTTAAAACAGCAGGTTTGAAACCAGGAGATCACGAATTCTAGTTCCAGCTTAGGCCCAAAGCGAGCCCAGTCATACTCATTCAACCTTAGGAAGAAGGCGGCAGCGGCAAACTACTTTTGAAATCTTGCCAAGAAAAATGCAGGCAGTCACCAGGAGTCAAAACTGACGGGAGGGAGGGAGGAAGACGTGTGCTAGGAAAACGTGTGGTTTATCTGACCAAGGCTGGACTGGATCCACTGGCATTATTTAGGCCAGTGTTTTTCATCTTTAAGATATGTGGACCAACTTCCACTGAAGTACTGGAAGTTAAAGGACACACAATTTAAAGTTGCCAAGATTAAGAAATAGTGATCTAGGTATTTGGGAGGCATCCATTCAGAGGATAAAGCTCTCTAGCATCTTTAAGGGAGAGAGCTGAAACAGTGCTTCTCAGCTTGATTGCATATGGGCAGCAGGCTCTGTTTGAAGAAGACCGCCCCTAGGGACCCAAACTATCCAGAAGTTTAAAAAGCAAACTCAGCACTTTGAATTGCATTTGGAAACATATTGGCAACTAGGGAACCACAAACAATATTTGAGGTACCCCCAAGTAGACTACATTGCTAATTTAATTTCAGAGTAAAAAAAGTATAATGAACTGATCCTAGGGCAGGGGTTTCTTAACAATGCTGGCTCAGGAATTCTGGGAGTTGAAGTCTACAAGCCATAAAAGAACCAAGGTTGCCTACCCCTGCCCTAGGGCCTCTCTTTGTCAAAAAATATCAAAACTGAGCAAAGTCTTTCTTAACCACATTCTTCACCTATGTCTTCCCTTCGAGGTAGACCAAACTAGGAAACTAGTGACACATAGGTGAGTGCTATTTTATTGTAAAACTAGAGTAGCAGAATCTTGCAGAGTCTCAGGGTGTGTCCCCACCCATTTTCCTTTGTGTCAACTTGGGAGGGTCTTGTCTGATGCCATTATTCATATTACTGTTTTTGGCCTGGACTCAGGCCTCTTTTATCTGATCATTGCCTTGGTAGTGGCTCTTCCTCTTGTCCTTCAAGTGCATTGCCTGTGCCCTTTGTAATCTGCCAAATAAGTGAAAATAACAAATCCAGGGGAATTTTCTTTTTTTATGAGCCAGTTTAGGAGTCATTGCCAAACCTCTTAGTTTCCTAGAGGTGTGGTGACGTAGTGGTTAGAATGCAGTACTGCAGGCTACTTCTGCTGACATTTCATAAATGGTCAGGGCATGCAGTGGAACAGCCTGATGTATTGCTGGGAAAAAATCTCCAATTAGCTGCTGAGAAATCAGCATGTGACATCTGGGGTGGGCCATTTTAATCTGACCTCTTCCAGAGGTCAATGATGCCGGTGAATTTCAAACTAACCAACAAACAATCTGATCATGACAAGTGATTGGCCACTATGTCCTCCATCTTGAGATGTCAAGCCATTTACTCTGGGGTTAAAAGTAGATCTAATGTATGGCCACCTTTATGTTTTAAACCAGATATGTGCTTAAAAATAATGAAACAAAAATAAAGGTTCGTTTCCATGAATTTATTCATTTCTTAATTAAAACACACCAAAAGATGCCAGTTTGGTGACAATGTTTGAGATGCCCTGGAACTCATCCAGTGGGGCCTTCAAGTCATACATTCCTGGGGTGAAAACCAGCAAAAGGACTGAAAAGATAAGAGGTTATGTGACAGCATCCTAAGACCTGGCCCCACGAAGTCTCCCCCCCCCATTTCTCTGAAGTTTGTCTTAAAACATAAAGTATTTTCATGAAAATAAACTGAATAGTTTGATATAAGAAATGGCACTAATTTTGAAAAGTATCTTTCAGATTTTACAAGGTAACAATAAAAGCT